GATAAGTTTGGACGTGAGAGAAAATGAGGACAAAGAGAGTTTACCGTTAAAAAAAAATGAATACACAGGAAAGTAGAAATAAAATGAAGAAAGCCGTGACTGTGTTGGACATCGAAGGGCGTGGTTCATGTGTTAACGAACCTCATCTTTTGTTATCTCTACTAAAACATTTTGTAAAGGTTATCTTGTCCTTATTCAGCTATAATAGTTATAGTTTGCTCTTCAATTTTGGCCAAGTGTACATCAAAAATATTGGTCAACTCTCAACAAAATAAGTCAACTTTAGCAGTTAGTTTGGAAGTTGTATCAAAACCAGTTTCAGTTTTTGTACTAGTTTTGGATTATTTTAAGCTACATTTGGTGATGTTAAGATTTTTCACCTTATTTTAGGGATATCTGCGTAAATTTATTGTGAAACAGAAATATTGGTTTTTAAATATTTACTTTTATCTCACTCAGTAATAGGTCACTCATTATTGAATATGTTTTTAAGAATTAAATAACTGATGATCTGGACAAGGTGGCACTGTTGAAAAATTATTTTTAAATTAAAAGCCGAATGAGAGCTTTTTGGCTTTAATTTCTGTGGTAGTAATAGTTTACCTTTCGTTGTTTTGTTTTTTCATAGCATGTGTTTATAACTAGACCTAGAGCACAAAGAGTTATACTTGACCTCATACAACGTACCAAAGCAGCAGTACGAGAATTAGACAATCTGAATTATCGAAAAATGAAAAAGATTTTAATGGTGGATTCTCAAGAAAATGAAGTTTCAACAGTGGACGGAGAAGAAGATTCAACAGTAAGCTTCCTTAATATGATGATAAATATGACATCAGTTCAACAGTAAGCTTCCTTAATATGATGATAAATATGACATCAGTTCAATAGTAAGCTTCCTTAATATGATGATAAATATGACATCAGTTCAACAGTAAGCTTCCTTAATATGATGATAAATATGACATCAGTTCAACAGTAAGCTTTCTTAATATGCTAAACTAGCACAAATTATATCAGTAATACAAAGTACAAAGCAAAGTAACGGAATTGGCTAATCTAAACAAGTAACTTACTAATTTACTCTATATTGGCTAATCTAAACAAGTAACTTACTATTTACTCTATATTGGCTAATCTAAACAAGTAACTTACTATTTACTCTATATTGGCTAATCTAAACAAGTAACTTACTATTTACTCTATATTGGCTAATCTAAACAAGTAACTTACCATATACTCTATATTGGCTAATCTAAACAAGTAACTTACTATTTACTCTATATTGGCTAATCTAGACAAGTAACTTAC